TAAGAGTGGCCCTTCAAGAGAGAGACCTTTGGCCCGCGGCTTCGGGGGTCGCGGGAGGGCCAGCCCCGAGCGCACCGGCCGTCCCTGTCGCACCGCATACGCAACGATCGGCGAACCACGAACCCCTAGAGGTCTCTCTTGCCCAAGGGTGCGTCGGGCACGTCCCTCTGCAGGAGGAAGATTCGAGAGTAGTCATACAATAGTCTGGGGACGGTTTTGCGACCATGTTTCACTATGTTTGAATATGTTGTGGTAATGGTTCAGTTTTCTTCCAGAGTCTGCCTGTAAGAGGACATGCCCGACCTGAGCCTAGGGTCACGCCTGTGTGCAGCCAGACAGGGCAGTGAGAGCGGCGGGTGGCGTGTGCGTGGCGGACGAAGTCCAGGTGGGCTTCGGGCGTTTCGGCGACCATTTCTGGGCTTTCGAGCAGCAGGGCGTCCACCCCGACATCGTCACCATGGGGAAACCGTTCGGGAACGGCATGCCCCTCGCCGCGGTGGTGACGACCAGAAGTGTGGCAGACCGTTTCCATAACGGCCTCGAGTACTTCAACACGTTCGGCGGGAACCCGGTCTGCTGCGCCGCTGGCCTGGCCGTGCTCGACGTGATCCGCGACGAGAAGCTCCAGGAGCACGCCCGGGCCGTCGGCGAGCACCTCCGCCGCAGGCTTTGGGAGCTCTCGAAGCGCCGGCCGCTGATCGGAGACGTTCGCGGGTCTGGGCTCTTCATCGGCGTCGACCTCATGCTCGACCGGACGTCCCTGGAGCCTGCTCCAGAGGATCGCTTGCACGCAAGAGTGACCCTCCGCCGAAGTGACCTTTGGTGCGGGCTCATCGAGATCCCCCCGCTCGCTGAGCGCAGTGCGCTGGCGGCTGCTTGCGAGCCTGGAGTTGGCCACAGCGCGCCCCCGAATAGTCCGCGCGCCACAGGTCACTCTTGCCAAGGGTCACTCCTGCGTATAGCCGAGAGGAGACCTCGGAGCTGTGCGCGCGCCTCAAGGACGAGCACCGGATCCTGACGAGCATCGACGGCCCCCACGACAACGTGCTGGTCATCAAGCCGCCGATGCCCTTCTCGCGGGCAGACGCCGATACTCGAAGGAGAAAAAAGGGCATAAACATCAACGTTTGGCGCTCCGCGCGGATTTCTTGGATCCGCGCTGGGGCCCCCCGGCAGCGCGCCAGGGAGGGGGGTCCAGCGCGGATCCAAGAAATCCGCGCGGAGCGCCGAAAGTTCATGTTTGTGCCGCTTTCTCTGCTTCCAGATACCCTGATCGAGGCGATGGACGCCGTCCTGGGCAGCCTGCGGGGTGGCCTGGGCCGCACCCCCACGTAGGCAGCAGAGAGCGGGCGTCGGCGCTGCTCGCGCCTGCTTCTCTGCCGCAGCTTTCCCAAGAGGGCGGTCGCGAGAGTCATGCCGAGTTCAAGCTCTGAGGCGTTCTCGCCCGATTCCAGCAGACCTCCCCCCAGGCTGTCGTGCTTTGCCCTCCCCAGTGGGCCCTCCACGGTGCCTCTGTGGTATGGGGTCGGCCGCTCTTGTGCTTCCCGTGTCAGGCCCCCACATGCACATCTGTCTTTAGGTCGGGCATGTGGAGGAAAAATGAAAAAAAGTCAAAGATACTCAAAATTAGTCCAAAAAAGTGGAAATCAAAACGTCCCCAGACTGTTTTTAAATTTTCCTCCTGCAGGGGGGCACGCCCGATTTAAATCTGTCTCCTTGTCAGCCTCCGCTGCGTGCCCCCTCCTCATCCTCATACTTGCGTTCCGTTGGTTCAATACTCTTGATTGTGTGTACGTCGACTGCTTTCCCGTATTCCCGAGGGGGGGATAAGTTGCATTATTTTCTCAAGACCGGTTTGCTCCACCTCCAGTCCTTCCTCACCCGCCTCACCCTTCTCCCTCTCCTCGCCCCCACCTCCTCCCAATTCGTTCCAAACAGTTTCAAACTCGGAAGCAGCTCGGGAGTGGGGTCGTTCGTTGAGAAGTGCGGCTGCGGGGAACTCTCGGTGTCCCCCCATGCCGATCATATACGTCCCGAGCCATTGCCTGAGTGTCCTCCACCTCCTCCTCCTCCTCCTCCTCCTCCTCCTCCTCCTCCTCCCTCCTCCTCTCTCCCCTCCTCCTCCTCCTCCTCCTCCTCCTCCTCCTCGCCACATCGTGGACATCAGCGTGCCTCCCGCGACTCCTCCTCCCTCCCCTTCACGTCGGTCGGAAAGGGGGGGATAGCAGAGGGGGTTTTGAAATCAGCTCACGCAAGCTGATTTTCCCCGCGCCCTCCGGCGCCGGGAGCGGCCATGTATCGAGGAATTGGCCCTTCGGTGAGGCCGAAACCAGCTGCATGCAGCAAATTTCGTAACCCCCCCTTTCCCAATCCCTCCCTTTCGCCCGACCCGATTCACGCTCCCCTCGGCGGCCGGTGGCTCCGTGCTCTCGCGCGCGGCGAGGACACACCTGCGAGCCCGCCGCCTGCCGCGCCGTCCGTGCCCGCGCCGCCGCAGTCC